GCAGCATGAATGCTTGTATACATACAGCGTCTGTGCGGCACGGGGCCACTTAAAATATGCATCAAACCGAAAGTCCTCTGCAAAGTTTTGATATTAAGAAAAGAGGAGTGGAAAGCCCTTTGACCCGTCTCCCGGACGACACTGTCCTTCAAAAGTGGGACTTAGCTGGGTAAAGTTTTGCTGTCATCTACAAGAGGTCCAACGCGATTGCCTTGGACAAGGATGACCACATCAATTTCGCCACAATAAAATTCGTGAACTTGTTCTGATGTTAATGTTAAATAAGCTAGATAAATCACATCACCACTCCTATGCATACAGTACTATCTGCAACAAAAATAAAATATAACGATCAAATATATAACCTATATGCTATTACTTACAATAAAAATAAGACTAATACTATTATTATACTACTAAACTATTAAACAGCATTGTTACTACCATAACTGCTACTATTACGAATAACAGTAATAATAGCAATAATAATAAAAATTATAATAATAAGACTTATAAAAACCGTATTTAATAATAGCCTTTCGTGCTGCTGTTTTGCGAAAGAAGGGAACTGCAAACCATGGTAGAGAGTAACGAATTGCATAGTTTAATTCAAATAAAGAAGATTTAAATTCGAAATCTTTGAAATTGAGTTTCGTGTGCATCGTAACACTAAAGAGATTATTTCTGTTTTAATTCATGTTTATGCGTATCTACCCGAATCACAATATGCATTTTATTTAAACCAAATATTATCGCGTGAGATATGTGTTCGCTTGGATTCTGAAATAATATGTCTATAAAAATTTTTTATTTTTGTTTACTGAATGTAATTTTGAGAACATTTTAGTTTAATTCTATTTAAAACCTGAGTCTAGTACTCAGTTATTTCACAAAAAATTTTCAATTAACTCAAAAATTTAAAAAAAAAAAACAACTTTAAAAATCAGAAAAGGTTTCAGATTTTAAATTACATCTACAGGGTCGTTTTTTTTAATGTTTAATGTGTTGCCTTTATTTATTAAATATCACGTTCTTCGCATTTAAAAAATAAAATTCAGATCAATGGCAATATCGCAAAATAATTTTAAAATGAGCCTATCCTTAAAATTTGCGATACATAGTTCCGCGTACTAGAGATAAAAAGTTTTTTTTTTCTTTCCGTAGAGTGTTGCCATTCCTCGTTTTGAAATCGTTGAGTTTGTTACTCAAATATTCGGTTAAAGTTTTACAAAATATGAAATCGATAATAAAACAAACTCCAAATTTCAACTTTTGGGCTGTCTGATGCCCATATTCGCAGTAAGATTACATCATTCAAAATTGGATGGCTCTATGTACGGTTGTTTTATCACAATGCGAGAAATAGACATACATTTATGCAGATTGTTCACTATTTAATTTCTTCAAATATAATGCAGGACTCTAACATTTGGTGGCAACAGTTTGAAAAGTGAAACGGACATTTATAGTAAACCGACGCAAAACGAAAACAATAGTCCTTCAGGGACAAACCTCCTTTGGACTAAAGTACAGTTAAATTGCATCATGAGATATATAGACATTGGAATAGATAAATTTTACATTAGAAACTTCCTGTCTGAAATGTTTAGAATGAAAAACCTACTTAGGATGGACATGGAAGACATTTTGCAATTAATTAAATGGACGAATTGGAATTTAATTAAAATAAAGATGGATTAATCTTGAAATCCTTAAAACTGACTCCTGTGCACTGTTTGTAAATATTGAAAGTGATCTGTTAATAATTACTAAAAGTATTTACTAATGTTTAAAGATATAAATCGTACATTACTGAAGAAATTGTATTTCGAATTTTCGTGACAGTCCATATCTAAAATACAGTTTGGTCTAATATAAGTTCAGTCTAAATAATTTTAACAAGAACTGTCATTTCTATCAGTTCCACCTCATAAACATGTTTCCCTCAACAGTGACATTTCTGGCTTTCCACCTTTGTTAATTCCAAGACCCAGTCGCATTAAAATTTTCATTCAAGTAGCGATTAAATTAATTAGATTGAGTGCCCCGACGCACCAAAACCTGGACAATACATTATATAAGATAGATCTATTAAGTCATTCAGATTACCTAAGTCTACTAAATTAACTGGAAAATTAATTTAATAGGCTCAGGGATAGCTAAAACTGACATTTTCAAAATGAAAAATAAAGCTGAAATTTTGATCGACTTATTAATAATATTTATAAGATGTTATACTTCAGTTGCCAAACAATTAAAACATTCATCAGCATATCAAAAATTTTGTTCAAAAATTGCCCCAAACAGTGAATCGTAATCAATCTTTTCCAAATGCTGAAATTTCCAAGAATATGATTATTTATAAAAATACAATTTTACAATTTATACAAATACAATTTGTAAAATACAATTTTAATCGTCTATCAGAACGCTGGTAATTTGTTTTGATTCCTGGTTTTGGCTCCATTTTCAAGTGTGTAGAATTTTCCTTGTTTTTTTCATGCATAATGCAAATAAAAGCTAATTTTATGTGTCCTCCAAAAAAGCATCTCCCTCGTTTTTCCTACAGAGAGTTTCGTTACTGCAACCAAACATACCTTTTTCCTAATCGTAATGTTGATCGTAGTGCTAAACGTATTATTCCTGCGCTTTTGATGTACACTGTCTACCAGAGTGATGACACTGGCTAGATTCTAAGCTGAGTTTGAAGAAATAAACTGAAATTATTCTTACTACTAGAAACACGCATTAATCACTACTCTTGCCCACCAGCTGCCGAGCGGTAAAATCGCTGAACAGTGGTAGTTCGATCCAAAGTTCGAATCCCGCGAAAGGGCTGGCTGCATGAGCGTTTTTGTGGTTTTACCCATGTATAATGTGCATACGAAACATTTTTCCTTAGAAAGTCCTCCACGAAGGCATCCCTTCTCTTAAGCAGACAGCCCTCGAAATTTTCCCGTAATCTAATAAACCAAACCTAATCACTATTCCTAGAGCTCCGCATTAACTCCGAACAATCGTCTTGTCACTCTACTATCAATGTTATCGAAAAACGCTGGAAGTACGGTTCTAAATATTTTTCAAAACATAGTATATTTACGTTCTTTAAACCTCCTGAGTAAATTGGACTTCGCTGTGAACATTGTACAGTCTGCTAGTTAATAGGTGTAGAAAATATCATTCCTGAGGTTATAATGCTAAACTTCTCGTAGATGCAATTTTGTTAAATATTTTCAAAGCTTTTAATGAGCTCAGTGACGTAAACTAATCAAATAAAAATGAAAACAAATCTTAATAAATTAAGAGCAATACATTACATTACGATACAATTATAAGCAAATATGACACTAAAATCAGTCACTAAAATTATTTCAGAGAATTAGTGGAAATTCCATCATAAAACCTTCCATGTAGTAAAAGTATAACTGGAAAAACCTGAGTTAACATTAAAATATTTATTTTATTATGATCTATTAATAAACAGAGAAACGGTAATGTAAAATCAGGGTAAAACATATATATGCACGCAAACACAACATATTAAGCTACTTAGAAATAAAGGGATAAAGATTTCGGCTTTTGTGCAGGTAATGAAAGCTGAAAATTAAGTTCGCTAAATAAAATGCAACTATTTCTCAGACAAATTCTGAAATGAGTTTTCGAAAGAAAATGCAGAATTATGTTCTTTTTTAACATATAACACGATTAGATACCTTTTTTAGATAAAAAGGCTGTTTTTATCAGCGTGTTCCTTTTGTCTGAATATTATAAAATGATAAAAGTGTTTTCATTGTGGACTTACTCAGCTTATTATTCCAAACAACAGTTTTAAATTTTCTTTTACTGAGCAATTTACCTCTTGCAAACTCGGAAAAATTACGTGTTTTAAAGCAATACTTATCTTCATATTGAGACTGTTATCGATTATTTTCACACAGCTGAGAGAAGAGAAAGCTTATTTTAATTTAAAGCTTATTTTAAGCAGGTGTCTCAAAATCTAACTCATACTAATCTTGAAAATTTACTAGCATAAGCTACATTTTTTCGGAATATACTGTTGTTTCTAAAGACCGATATTTAATACAGTCTTCAGGAATGGTCAATACCCATTAGTCATTTAGCCATTTCATCATTAAAAACGTTGCCCAGGCTCCTCTACAGAGGATGAAAAAAGAGAAGTTTCGTCCCAGTTTTCATGTTTTTGATGGAGAATAATCAATAGCCGTAATGAAGGGTCCCCCAGACCTTTCTTTCTTTGTCAAGCCTCTCGAGAAGACTTTCGGCGGGCCGGTATTTTATGAGCCCCCATGCCGCTTGGACACTATACACAAACATCCAAGCCTTGTCCAGAAATCGAATCTGGGCTCAATGATACGGTATTTAGATCACTAACCGCTCAGGGCGGCGTTTACAAATATATACCACGCGTGAACCTATCTGACCAAAATTTAGCATTAGTTCATTTCATTATAAAGCTAATTTTCATCAAATACTTTATTTAAAAAATTAAGCGACGAGGTTAAAAATAGATTTGACATCGGCGTTTTTCTGAAACCATCTTCCCAAAGATTATCACCATTTTCTCTGCAATCTCCTTATAAGATTGCAGAAATAAAAGCACAATTTCAGTTGCCGCGTAGTATACTCACTCTTACCTTTCTACAAAAGACCACATTTACAGTTTTTAACATCTAATGACTGACGCGGAAATGTTTGTATTATTATAATTATATTATTGTTATTATGATTCGTTGCATATCAAATGAGAAATAAAAATGAAAAGCAAAAAATATGCCCACGCTGTAAAAAGGATTAGAAATCTTTCAGTTATTTTCTTATAAAACAAATAACCTATAAATACAGTATCAAAAGAAAAATCAACAGATCAATAAGATGAATGTAAACAAGCAGTAAGTAAACGGCAGTACAGCATCAGTTTAAGATTGATTTGCAGAGAAAAAAAAATCTGGAAATCACATAGACATGAAAATGAGACTTACCCAACGCAGGGTGGATTGCAGGGTTCTTTGTCTACCAGCTGGACAGTGCAACCTACCATTTCTGCTTTCTTTTTATTGGTATACTGACGAGATCTCATTTTGAAACCATGGCCACAAGACACACTGCATGGTTGGAAGTCTGTCCAGTCACTGACACGGCATTCCACTGAAACAATGAATCAAAAGATGTGAAAAATCAGGAAATAAGAACAAAATACAGAATCCCATAATGTGCTTCATAAGGATTGTACATGCATAAATACGTCTTAAGCAAATGGTCATGGGCCAGGCCATAAGTCCAGTTTATGAGACGAACTAAATAAGGTAAGTTTTCAGACTATATCAAATTTGGTTACTTGACGAACTGTAACAAAAATACTCGAACTTGAAGCGTTCACATAGACCCTTTAGGAAGAAAATCTTATGCAGTAAACTTATGAGATTTTATTTGACTTGGAATTATTAATGTGAGGCAGATTATCGCTATGTCTAAAGTAACTCTAAGTCATGAAAAGTTTTAATAACTTTTTTAATTACATATAAATTAGAATATAAATGCACGCTCTTATGCTAACAATATCAAGCACAGTTCACGATGATACAACTAACTAGTAGTCAACGACTACACATTTAAATGTTACTCTAATCTGGCTCAGAAACTCTACCGGTGTATCAGATTTAAAAGTCGGCAGTGATATAACGCGAAGCCGCTTAGTTACCAATTTATCAGAGCTGGCAGGAGCTAAACATAGCCTGCCAGCGCCGATTAGAAACACGCTCTATCTTAAAATTCCAAATTATTAAAATAAATACTACCTAACTCATTTACATTCTGGTGAGGAAACGGAAAGGACAAGTTATAGTAAAGGCTGAAATTATAAATAACTGATTGATTTAAAAAATAACCTTACACACTCGTCTCAATTAAATATTTTTTAGAAAGCGAAGCAGCTAGGTAATACACACATTTGGCCATAAAATAATGTCAGAATTATATGACTTCTAATGCTTTCACTCGAGCTGCCGATTCACACACATACTTAGGCACAGCATTCTAATAATACATAAATTTAGTACGATAGAGTTCGATTACTTAAAATCCTAAGCGGCTCCCCAAAATACTCCCAAACGAGCAATGATTTCATGACATTTTCTTGATTCCAAAACAGTCATCCCACTTTGTATCCATGACTGTAAATATTCTTCCAATATACTACTTTAATTACTTGGATACTTTTTAAGATGTCTACTGTGCATTTCAAGATACACTGTACCTTGAGAGTATCTGAAGATATAATGCAAACATTTTTAGCATATATATATATGGTTTGGCCGCTTGCAGAATTGTGAGAAATCTTACTAAAAAAAAAAAAAAAAAAAAAAAAAAAAAAAGAATTTCGTGTTCGGGAAAAATGTATACACATTGTTAGTTTTCAGAACTTTAAAAAAAATGAGATATTTTTAAGAGGAACTCCATTTGAGGAAACTTCCGATTTAGTTCTACTGCATATTTTTATTTTAATTCTTGGAATTATCATTACCAGATCTCAAGTATTAGTAAATTTGTAGCATTCCTTATCAGTGTAGCTTAGCATATATCAGTTAAACTAAGACAGGTTTGAAGTTTTGCATTAGAGAACAGAAATTTCATTTCACACTAATTTGCATAACATTAGATGCAAAACAGAAGGTTTCAAATACTTTCGAAGAGTGATAGTCGATCATTGTGGATTCAATAACACATAAAACTATACATATTTTTCTTTTTTCATTTGTGGAATTTATGTTATCTTCAGGAATGAAAGCATGAAAAATATATCAATATTGTATACACTTTATATCGCAGAAAATGAAATAAAATGCATTGTCTTATACTTAAACACAAGGACATTATATTATTTCAGGTAACAATAATTACGGAAATAAAAATATGACCTAATTAATTATTTTGGAATTTTAGGTTTGCAATTCACATGGTATTAAAAAACTTTTTGAATTTCGTATTGGTATTCAAGATTTGTGTAACGGAGTAGTGGAAAGTTGTACGGAAGCCTAGGTTTTTGAGGAACGGCATAACTAAGACTAATGCTCTAGAGAGTATTTGGTGATAAAGGAAACATAAACTGAGCACATGGGTACTAGAGGCAGCTAATTTAATCTGTACGGCTAAATCAATCACAGTTTACTTAATTTTGATCTTTAGCAACTCATCAGATTTAAGATAACTCTCTTTTTTTTATCCTCGGAGGCAATATGTTTTCTAGAGTCTGTAAACCCAAGAAGATAAGCTGATAAGCAGCTGTACTGATAAGCTTATTTCAGATTTCATGGCAACAAAAATGACAAATATACGGAGAAGCATAGGAGTAGTATATGCAAATATATTATAAATGCAGAGTTACTACATTTAAATATAACATGCAGACATTTATAATTAGATGCAAATGTAATATTGTATGACACTGTTTACAAAGCATATCAAAGTGTATACAGATTTATGTAATATTTCAAACTACTTGTAGCAGCATATAGCCTGTAAATTAAGTGTACAGTATAATATTGCGTGATATCTATATACATCTATACAGAATATCCTGTATTTTAAGTATTAATTTGTGGATATTTTTATAAATAATATTTAAAGCATGCAACATAACAAAATGTAGTATAGTATATTGTTGCGTTCTATGGGTTCGTGGTTGGAGTACTTGATGATAACACTTTAATCAAAACACAATTTATTCACCAGTAAGCGCTTTTACACAGGACAGTTCGAAAAACACGTTTATAGTCGCCGGAAAACTACGATAAACACGTTGAAACAATTAGCAACACAGCCTTCAGGCTGTAACGGAAAAGACAGATTCACAACAAAGCATAAAAGTTCAGCTTCCGACTCAGTTGATCACTCTCGAGCTAATCTCTGAGCTCAAAACACTACTCCAAGATACTACTTTCCAATACCAAACCCAATATTGAGTTATAACTGATTTACCGCACGGACGCGACGTTATCAGTTCCGTTGATATACAGCCGTAAATTGGCCATGAAAATACGGCATATCTATGGCAGCTGGATTAGCTTGCCTTTGAGAATATTCTCGTGAAACCCGTTAAGAATAGGTTCTAGAATGTTCTCGCTCCGACTATGGCATGTTGCCAAACGGTAGATTTTGCGCCAAATCTAGCAACCTTGCATTTCTCTAGCACTTTCTGGCAACCCTAACGCCGCTTTGCGGGAAGGCTACCTTAACGCAGCTGGGCTTTTCGCAACAATATTATTAGAAATTTCGGATGTAGGGTAAGGTTGCGCAAGTCATACTACCGCTTAAATCATATTTTTTAAATATTAGGTGTAATATCACGCCATCTGCTCCTCTTTCGGCAAAACGAGTTACTCGTTTGTCGGAAGGACGTTTGTTGTTTGTCGGAGGGTCGTTTGTAAGAGGGAGAGTAAAAACCGCAAAAAGAATATAATTCAGTGCCCTTCTGTGCAAAAGATATGTATACGACTTATGTGCTGGAGTTGACATGATTTCAGATTTTCTATATCGCTCAAAAAGGCAATTTTTTAATGTTTTGTGTGTTACCTTTATTTATTAAATATCATGTTCTTCGAAATTTAAACAAAATAAACTTCAATTCAGCAATATAACAAAAATATTTAAAAACAGTAATACAGCATATCTTTAGAATTTTCTATACATAGTCTCGCTCGCTGGAGATAAAAATGTTTTTCCGTACAGTGTTGTCATTGCTCGCTTTGAAATCGTTGAGTTTGTTAATCAAAAATACGTTGAAGTTTTTCAAAATTTGAGATAGATAATAAAAAGAAATCGAAATTAAAAATTCGGGCTTTTAAGTGCCCGTATTCGGTTGGAAAACTACGTTATCCATAATTTCATGGCTCTAGGTACCTTTGTTTTCCCCTCAGTGCTAGAAACATTCATGCAGAATCTTCATTATTTAGTTTCTTTAAATGTATTACATGGCGATAATATTTAGTGGCAACAGTTTGAAAAGTGAATTGATGCAAAATGCCGTTTTGAAATTAATAGCCCCTCTGGGCTAACGCCCTGTGGGCTAAAATTACCTTTGTCGTCATTGTTGTAATTAATTGTATAAATAAATTAATTGAGAAAAAGAAGGTAATTTTTAATTGTCCAATTTTAAATGTAGTATGACGTAAGTTATATGTGGTGCGACTTGGTTGTCTAAGTCGTAATAAGTTCGTATTTTTAAATTGAATAACTGTTTGGAATTTTACTACAATAAATATCAGCAACAGTAACACAAGATATTATTACCATACATGATTTTTACTTTTTCATAGATCCTACGATTTATAAATATTTTTTCTTAGGGGGTACAACTTAGGTAACCTTACCCTAAAATGGTTTAGATGTCATTAATGTATACAGGTTTTTGATATAAAACGCATTGCTATACTCCTTATGTAAAGCTAAACACAAAATGTGTGACACCCGCGTGACATAAATTGACCAAGGTCCTAGATATGAAACTCGGAAATCACACACAGAGGCCGTAAACAAACTGAAAAACGGAATGTTTGCATTTGTACGTAACTAAAAATAAATTATCATTTTAGAAAAATAGGTTTTTGGTATTAATAAGGTAAATGACAGGCATTTTTATGAAAAATATCAATGGAATAATTTTTTCCTAGATATGAAACTCGGAAATCACACACAGAGGCCGTAAACAAACTGAAAAACGGAATGTTTGCATTTGTACGTAACTAAAAATAAATTATCATTTTAGAAAAATAGGTTTTTGGTATTAATAAGGTAAATGACAGGCATTTTTATGAAAAATATCAATGGAATAATTTTTTCAACGTGAACACCTTATTTGAAAAATCCTCTAGATATTGTATACTAGAAAGTACTGACAGGCTTAACTATTTTAATTAGCTAACACTTAATATTGTTTACATTAATTAAAATTGAAAACTATTTGTACTTTAAAGGATTTTTTTGTGCAATTATCAAATTATGACTCTAAAGTAATAAAACGTCCTAAGAACATTAATAACGCGTTTTAAGATTTTGAAAATTTATAAAATACTTGCGGGAAAATTCTTTTGCCATGTCATATGTATTAAAATTACATCGGCATACAATATGTGTCTATTATAAATTAGATAATATTAAATCGCAAAAGAATATAGTTAAATGGCATTTGAAGGGAAACCATCAAACTCGAATTAGTCTAGTTTATTTTTTAACCTTTCTTTCAAAGTTAAAGTTTTGATAAAAAAGGTAGGCAGTCTGATTAGGCCTAGAGGAGTACGCAAGTAAAAGTTTGTGAAGATAGCACTTATCTTTTAATTCTGTGTGCCCAAAGTTGGCACACTGATTGAATAGATCTTCAAAAAGAGTGCTGAAACGAGCATTGTTGTCAATGAACTGACCGATGAGATGCGGAGAAACAAAGAATACAGACTCTCCAGTTGTCCTAGATTATCGGTGAGCCCAGTCTGGGTACACCTAGGGTTCGCCGTTTGATTTTAGGCAAGATTTCAAGGTAAAAATTTAAAACTAATATAGAATAAGGAGAATAGAATACAGCCACAAAATAACATGGAAATTTCTTTTCAAACAATTCTTTTTATACCTTAAAAACATCTGGAAAATTTCTTTGAAAAATGAGGGTCTTAAAAAACTAAACGTGGCTAAAATATATGAACTGGTTTGTGTTGAGCTGCCATCTATAAATAAAAAAGGTTCAGAGTGACCTATAGTAACCTATAAATCCTTTTTCATTTAATTTTTCTGTGCGTACAGAAGGAAATTTTTAGGTGTGTCCAGACCGGACACACTCTGCCACAAAGGGTTAATGCAAATTGGAAGTGACAACAAAAATCGCAAAATGTGAAATTAAATACGATGTTTTATTTTTTTCTAAGGAGTACAACATTTTCCTAAATATAAGTATAAGGACCCGAGAAGCATATAAAAATTAGATACTTTAATTTTTACGGAATTGATTTTTTCACAATTACCCCTCCCCTTCTAAATGGCGAGCGCTTGCCCATGCCGCACTCCTAAGGCCAGATGGGGTGGTCTCTTTATTATGAAGCACCTAATGGGTGGGCCACCTTTTCGTTCTAAGAAGAGACAGACAATTTTACATCCATGCCTTCTCCTCCGGGATTCGAACCTGGGCCCTTCGCAGTCAGGCTTTCCTAACCACGATACCGTCTGGGCTACTCTTCATAAATTAAAAACATAAATATTGAGCGAAATTTGTGCCATTTCGAATATATCTGTAACTGGAGACAAAGGTGTAGAGTCAACGGTTGCGAAAATAAAGACTGGGTAAGAAATACCGTGTTCACAGTACACTGTATATACATTTCCCTGCCAAGTAAAAACGAATTAACATACAGAAAAAAATCAAAATGCCGTGCAACAGCATTTGGCACATTTCGGCTTAAAAAAAGTACCCTGTGTTACATCTGGATTACAAGCGCCACCTGACGAACTTTCGATATAGAAGAAATTTTAGTTGCGTAAGAGGAACCAGAAGAGTTTTTGTGAAGCAGAGCGCGTGGTTTAACTTCGCGAGTTCGAAATGTACTTAACATAAAGATGTGTATATCTGTAATAATATTTTCCTTTTTATTTATGAAAAGTGTCTGCGTTTGATCATTTTGAGACTGTTTGATTTTTCTTTTCTGCGTTCTATATTTGTAGACGAGAAGAATTATTCTACACTCGCCACCCGGGAATAGAAAAGATAAAGTTTTCGTTTACCCTTTATAATCATGAATTTTACAATGTTAAATATGTGGTGAAACTGTATATTTTAATTAAAAATAAATTTAATCGCTGATCGATTTTCTTTTGAGTTAAACTAATGACTACTTATTAAATGAAAGCTTTTGCTTTCATTTAATAAGTAATTAAATGAAAGCTTTTGCTTTCATTTAATAAGTAGCTTATACAGAACGATAATAAGTATGCTTCCCGAAACCATAAATAAATAAATACCACGTGAAACAATTACGCACGAAAATATCAAATACAAACAAATTCACTTACTTCTAGAATAGGTATCATCGGTGATTTCAAGGGAGTTATATGTGGTAGGAATCGTGTAGTCGTCACATGGCTTCTCATACACTCTTTGGCGGGTAACGGTCAGCCTGGCCACTGGTTTCATTGGAGCACCCGTTGGGTCGTAGAAAGGAGACAAAGGATTATTTGGTGTAGAAGATGTGATACGTCGAATTTTTTCTCTTGGGGAAGTTGGGATTTTCGGATCCTCCTCAAAAGAAACAGATATTATTAACTAGAGCAACTATAACTGTAACAGTTCATCTCATACTGAAGACCATACATATCAAACCTATGTAAACTGAATTTCAATGGAATATTAATTAATTTTAATTTTGTAAAAGAAATAATCAGACAAAACGTTTAGGACTAGTAGGATAAAATCCTGGTCAAGAAATAATTATTCAACTTCCCAGGCTTTCTAGGTGTCTTTAATAAGTAAATCTTTAAGTACTTAAGAAGGTAGAGTACTTAAATCTACTACAGTACTTCTAGAGTACTTAAGGTAAATCTACTGGAATACTTTTAAAGTATTCTAGTAGATTTACCTGGAGTAGACTAGAAGATAATAAGGTAAATCCTTAGGAATACATAAGAAGATTTCTAGTAGATTAACCTGAAGTAGACTAGAAGGTAATAAGGTAAATCTTAGGAATGCATAAGAAGGTAAGTCCTTACGAAAGAGATTGAAAGAGCTGTTATAAACAGAAGAACAAAGCAGCATTGAACAGCAACTGCTATTCTATACGTTGAATAAACAATATGTCTTGTTTTTGAAAAGCAGTAAAAGAACGGTAAAATTGTTTTTTGCTGTAAGATAAAAAAATCCTTCACAAAACAGGAAAGAGACATAAAAAATAATTGTAGCGAGCTAATTGGTTTAACACTACCATATTAAAAAAAAAGGAGTCAAATGAAAACCGTGCATGGTCTTAAAAATTAAGATTATATAGTAAAATTCTAGACTTCTAGTTTTCAAATCATCGCGTCAACGACTGTATAAGTTCACTTTCGTCAAAATTCATTTCGTTGAAAATAAGGCAAAACTTTCAGTTTTTCAGTGAAAGTATTTAGTTGGATACTCGATTGTTTTTAGACAAAACTCATTTTAGTTTCACTTTTTTTTAACAATAAATAAATCAATTCTACCAAAATATTTTAAATCCATATGTTATTTTTTTTGACAAGGATTGCCTCTGAGCTGCTTAAGCACAGCTTTGCTTTTTCAATAATAAATAAATCAAAGGAAAAATAAATATTTTAAGATTTTGAAAGTCAAAAGCATTTTCAAAGTCACCGCAATAAAAACGCAGCCCATCCGCTGCCAGAGCAATAAAACAGCGACCGTATTTCATTTCTTCTGATAAAAGGAAATACAGAAACCATGAAAAATTTTAAACTGCAAAGTTTAACCTTTCTGACTGCTGCCGATTTTCAACTGTCATTTGTTCCTTACTATATTGCTTCACTGATATATTTCCATAAGCCTCAATATTTGGAAGCTTCAAAGCACATTTCAAAATTATAAAACATTTTGAAAGACATTCTTTTTTAGCTGGAAGATTTCGTCTGGAATTGCCGAGTTGGAAATTACGAGTTTCTTAAAGTATTTTCTCTGATTGCCAGTCACTGATATGTGTTGAAATATTTGATTGACCGTTTAATCGTCCATCTGCAATTGTAGTTTGTGTCAGTTTATATATTTCTATCGATTTTTGTAGATTAAATTTTAAAAAAATGGAAACCAAATTTTCAATTACATCTTTTAGTATGCTTCCAAGGAAAATATCAGAGATGAAAAGTTAGATAAATTTTTTGTAAGTACCGAATTTACAAGTTAAGGGAATTGTGACTGAAATCTAAATAAATCCTAATCATAAGTACCGAATTTACAAGTTAAGGGAATTGTGACTGAAATCTAAATAAATCCTAATCAACTATTCTTTTAATATAAATTTTAACTAATTTCTGTGAGACATTTTTTTTCTCGTTACTTTTATAAAAATGTATATTTGTTAAATTTATAGAAAATTTTACTTTTGTAAGATTTTAAATATTCTGGAAAAGGTTGCTCTCCATTCTGAAGTACGCTGTTAGCTTTTAATGGCTGCATTTGCTATGAACAATTGCAACGGAAGCACTTTTAAAATTAAGGCCATACGAATACGTCATTTCAATTTGCACTTTTATGCAGAATGATTCAGAAACCTTCAAGTAATCTCGGTTTTCATAAACAGAGGTTTAAATGTCTGTAAAGAGACCTAACACTAAACTGTATTTTATGAGAAATAAAATTGTTTTATTGGTCATTGTTTGCAATAACGAGAAAGGTTGGAATCATTACAACATTCCGAATAAATTAACATTTCTGATGAAAGTTTTGGTTTATGTGATTACGACAAAGCTTCAAGGGCTATCCGCCAAAGGGAAGGGATGCCTTCATGGAGGACTTTCTAAGGGAAAATGTATCGTATACACGCTACACATGGGGAAAACGACGAAAACGCCCATGCAACCAGCTCATTCGCGGGATTCGAATCTCAGACCGAACTACCAATGTTCAGCGGCTTTACCGCTCGGCCGCTGGTGGGCCTTCTGATGAAAACGCTTGTTTCTTCTATATTATATAAATTATTCCGCATTTTATTTAAAAAAGTTTTAAAAAGCATTATTAGCAACATTTAAAAGCAGAATTATTATTAGGCAATACAATGGAAATCAGAACTTAAGAAAAAGTAATTTTTTTAATTTGATTTACACTTTAAAGCATTTTAGTGCTTTTTCAAGCACACCTGCAACCGCGCTATAAGATCGTTGAACACATGCAGTTCGATATGAGTTTTTTCCTGCGTAACATGCATAGGAGTCAGTTTTCCTTAAAACATTCTCCACGAAGACATTTTTTTTCCTTTAGAAAAGATGCCTTAGTGAGAATATTTAGGCTTTCCGATGAAATGAAAAGCCTTATACATTTTCGTACGCTTTGTCACAGTTCAAACAATCTAATGTAATCTTTAGTGGTTTTGATTACAGATCACATTAAATTAGTAAACATATAGATCATAGTTTTTCAAGTTTAAATACCGATGTCTCTTGCACAGAGACGTGATTCATTATCAGTATTGCATGTTAAGCCCGTATAAAGCATAATTTTTTTAAAATACCTATTCCCGTTTGCTAGGCATCTGCTAGATTCTTTTTTGTAACTGAAGGTCCACCAGAAGAATATAATCCAGCTGTCCAGAAACACTGTAGCTACTCCTTCATCACGTTATAGGAGAAATGTTTTCGAAGTAGCTTTCCCGAGTTCCCGACATGTATTCGTGAAATATAAGCAAACTCACTTTGTGACAAGTATTCGAAAGTTTTACTATATATTAAGTTTTAAGTTCAATTCTGAATTATTTCTTCTTGGTTTTCTCTTGATTAATATAATTCAGAAACGCGAAGAGAAAAAAATGCATGCGGCGTGGAAGTGCGGCTGCAGCTGGCAATATTTCAAAAATAATAAATACATTTATTTTTATAGAGTAGAAAGAAACTCTCTTAAAAAGAACTTCAATGATGTATTTTATTTTAAATATTTTGGTTCTTCTGTTTCTCGTTGCCTATTCTGAATTAAAAAAATGACTGTAATCTCGTCATGGAATCTCACTAGTCATTCTAGGAAACCTTTATTTCCATTCAATAAAGGATTTTTATTAAATAAAGGATTTGTATACACGTTGTTTGCTGGGGGGGAGTATCACTGAAAGACAGAATTTGACAGTTTGGGACCTGGATACTGAGGTCACTTGCTAGACTGAAAGGAAGTCTGCCAATTTCAAGCGTAACTAAATTTATACCTTTGTATGCTAGCCTAACTTTGCACAGTCCGAAAATGTGGGCACTATAAAGGGGATAGAAACAGAAAGCTATTAAAAAAAAAAGAGCAGGCAAAAAAAAAAAAACATATCCAAAAATAAAAACTGTTTAACTAGTCATGAAACTAATCATGAAATCGATCATGAGTGAGAACTAATCATTAAATATATGTACACAAGTACTCACATTTTATGATACCGTATCAAGTATAGTTCATGTATAAACTGTGTGGGTCTAGGACTTTTCACCGTGGCCGTTTCGCCGTCGGGTCGTTTCGCCATCGACATATTTTTCTTTACATGACTGTATTTTATCTTGCCGTATTATACTCGTATTAAATTTATTACTTTAATAATTCTGTTTACTTTTTGTATACGTAATAAAGGTTGCTTTTAATATATATAGTTATTTACAGGTACGAGATATAAAGAAATTACACATAGTTAGTTAGAAAATTACTATATCAATATCAAAGAGAACTGGGGCTAAACATGGGATATAACAGAAGTTATATTATCGATTTTAAAATTATGCGGATACAAATGATTCGTCAAAAGTTGTTGAAATTTTAATCGGCTAGTTCAGAGAAATCACTCATACAAAACAGAAAATTCATATTTTTATGAAATCTGAATGGAAAACGCAATTACTTTAGAATCTTGTTAGCACCTTCATCTCTTAAAATTAATATGTCATGCGTAATGGTGTATTTGTATAAAATTTATTAAAATAATTATTAAATTAAACAGAGTTATTAATTTAAATCAACATAATATAATACGGCAAGATATAACATAGCGGTGTAAAGAAAAATATGTCTTGACGGCGAAATGTCCCGACGGCGAAGCGGACCGACGGCGAAACGGCCACGGCGAATAGTCCCATTTCCAACTCTGTTAAGAGAAAAATATACAAATATATCCAAAATCCACTGAATTTAGGAAGCTAAATAATTACGAGGAAACTTAATGAGAATATTTTACATTAAAACCTGAGCATAACTAATTGGTTGGAATTTCAAGTGAACCTTACTATATATGTATATCCATTCATCGTGCCAGCATCCCAAGGATACAAATTCATGACCTTTTCTCCTACCCAAGAACAATTCTTGAGGCAGAGTTCCAGTGCGCTAACTCCTACAATCCAGTCTGGGCTTGGTCCAAGCATGGTCAACAGTGACATCAGATGATGATATTTGTCTACTCGGAAAACAGCAAATGTCTTACCCTGGACATTGGGGTACCACAAACCTCTTGCTTTGATGATTGTGCGGATTTTGTTTGACTAAAAAGAGATATATATATATATATATATATACACACACACACACCTATGCATGCACACAAAATGCGTCATTAAAAGAGAGAAAAAATGCTAAATATGTTATTGATGGGAAAGGAATGTAAGCAAAAAAGAAAGAAAATGTTGTCTTATTAAATTTGACGCATTTCACATTATTTCCATTATTTAAGCTTACGTGTATGTTTTCATTTTTTAAGCTTACGTGCTTTTTACTGTAATTTTAACTTACCTAATTCTAAATAAATTAAATTTAATAAAAAACTCAAAATTTTTTTAAATTTTCGTAATAAAATATTATTATTTTGTGAACAGGAAATATGAAAAATTAGTTGTATTTTTTCAACATTATGTTTTTTTTCTTTTAATATACAATAAATATTTTTTTAAAAAAGAGGAATATCCTCTAACCCACATATTCTAATAAATATGCACATATGAGAAAAGGGGGAGCGAATATACTTAAATGCTTTTTTTGCATTAAACCTTTTACAAGCTAGATAATTCAGCACCTATGAGGTCTATATGAATCACTTTTCACAATTACCACTTCTATCTTACTTGTGTCTGCATCCTTGGGTCATATATACTGGCTTAGCGTTATACTCTGACAGTCTTGGCTTTGAGGGTATAAAATAGACGAACTCAGTTTCTGCTGTCCAAAAGGGCAGCCTATACTGTATCGGAGGGTAGTGGCATGGCGTCAGGCATCCGAGTCGGTAGCGTGACGACCAATCTGTTCACCGATTTCATAAGCTCTGCACATTTCGTAAGTGTGTTTGAGGACAAATCCTAGTGTCTAGGGATTAGTAGAGTCGTTTCTTTGATGTATGTACAAATTTAATCCGTACCCTTAGGGAATTTGGCACCTGAAGTGGTGCGGTTGCAAATGAGTTTACTTATTGCCCTTCCAGGAGCTTGCGAGTCTGCTCTATCGCCTAAATTGCATCTTCGTTTTACATAAATGGTGTAACGAAATTTGATTGATTACCTCTGTCTTTAGCTCTGATTCCAGCTTCTTGGTGATTCCTCTTTCTGCAACTTCCCTGACCCCATCAGATGCGTTTCCACCATATTGCCACATGCGGAAGTCGCCAGTGTGAGAAGCACCAATGATGTCAGAGAAGTGGGTTAACCATTCGTCTAAGAAAATCAGACACAAATTCAAGCCAAACTCTGCTTGCAACACTTAATACAAATTTAAATAAAATGAATGAATGAAAAAATATTTTGATTATTAATTTGTTTAGAAAGTTAATTCAGATATTATTATTGTTATTATTGTAATAATAACAATAATTGTTATTATTGCAAGTAATAGCACTAATGCATTAATGAAGTAATTCATACACAGTTTTTAAAAATAATAGAAATTGTAGGACTGCTTACTTGTGGGAAAGTCTTTGGGATGAGTATGCCTGGACCACAGGCCTTCAAACGTGAGCTCATATTTGGCTTCATCACACGCACAACAGTCTTCGATAATCTCTGGCTGCTCGTCTTGGTTTTCTTGCTCTGCAAGGAACAGACTTAATCAATCCTTAAGAATAACATTGGTATTCAACGGAAGCATGAGCAAGAACTTAAAAGTTGAACGACAAATGCTGAAACGAAATCATGAAATAGACCTACGTAGGAGATACAAAGCCCCTTGAATTACGTTCCATAAACCTTTACACAGCTTAAAATTTATGTGAGTTCGAATTGGCAATAGATATGTGTGTATTATTTGCACATTATTATTTTAGAAATGACACATCATGCAGCAGTATTTAAGGGACTTTCTAAGGGAAACTGTCTCGTACACATGGGGTAAAACACAAAAATGCCCATGCAGACAGCCCCGTTCGGAATTTGAATTTCGGATCGAACTTCCAATGTTCAGTGCCTTTATTACTGAGCCGCCGATGGGCAATAAAATGGATGATTATGAAAAGTAAACTTGCTGTCTGGCTAACAATTTAAATTTTAATGCAAATGTTTGATCCGATTGTTTTGCGATCCTGAATCCAAACATAATTTCTTTTTTCTCTTTTGCAGTAAGTGTTTGCTTTGACGCTGTCTTCCAAAATACAGCCTTTCCATCACCTTTAAAGATTTGCTCACACAAATATGGTCTTTCTTCAATTATTTCTACCAGAAGCTGGCAACATTTACTTGGAGTTGCCTGAATCTGCATTTGTTGCCTCGCTTTGGTGCTGTATAGTCTTTGTACGCTTCTTGAATCGTTTGAACCATCGAGCATAGATTGAAACCTCTCTCCGTGCTCTTGATGCTAGTTTTCTCTTGTAAATATAGAGATCCAGCCTTTTCCTGGACAATTAGAAAAAAAATCAAAGGTATCCGTTTTTTTGTCAGATTCTGGATTCAATAAGACAACGATTCTTCATTTCCGAAATTAGGCAGAGCCCCTTCTTGTTAATAAATTTGCCTTTCACTATTACTATATATTTCAGGCTTTCAATAATAGGAAATTTATCACCGCAGTTGTATTCACTGTCAAAAAAGTTAATTTATTTCCCAGCCTATTGCTGATATAATTTTTCGGTCTTCATACATACTCTTTTTTAATATTACTCGTAAATTCAGTTTTATGTTTAGTCATAATCTGTGAAACTCAAAAGCACCAAAAATACGGCAGTTAAAAGTATTTAAGAAAATCATTACACAGATCTCATTTTGCCAGTTTTATTACTCGGCTGAAATGCACAGTGACGTTTCGTGCATTTACACAACGCACAAAACTGCACTGCTGCTGAAGACTTTCTAAGTTTTTTCCTTTCACTCAAATACTAAAGAATTACATAAACTAATTTCTCAGTATGCTAAGTAATTAACTAATTAAAGTACTGTCAGATTTGGAAGATTATGATAATGATATAATTTTGTCAGTTCACAAGGTACGCCCATAAAGTAACTGGACAATCTCTTACCATTAAGAAAAAGATTATTGACTTTCAAATAAATTTATCTCCTTCAAAATAAATTTTTTACAATCATTCTTTCGGTCCTCGCAACTTTGTTTATAAAGTGCTGGACCTAACCGTTCGCAAAATACGCGTAATATTTGATTTAATATCCGAAACGTTTTCAAATCTCTGTTTCAAATCTGGGAATCTTAAGCATTGGAAAAAGAAAAAAATGTTGGAGATAAGTCGGGAGAATATGATGTATGATATTTATCACTACAGTTGAATGCTTACCAAGACAGTGTTGCAGAGGCAATTCTGTGTGGGGCCTAACATTATCGTGTGAAAGAAACCATTGCCAAGAATAAAAAATTCCTTCCTAACTCGCCTTATACCGTTTTTAATTGAAAAATTACTTCCTTCTAACAATACTGATTAAGTGATTGATTTTCAGGAAAATATTCATGCTTAATAAATATTTTGTAACACAAAAATTACAATTAATACTGATTTCGACATTTGTGCTCTTTTTTTTTCTGGGGGAGGGATAAGTCGATCCATTCCACTGTGCACTTTTTGATTTTGGGGCACAGGTCTCAACCCTGATTGTGGTACACTTTAAGAGCTGTCCAAGCGGTATAGTGGTTAGTGCCGCTGACTACTGTGCCGTAGGGCCCAGGTTCGAATCCCGGAGAAGGCATGGATGTTTGTAAATGTATAGTGTGTCAGTACGGTATGGCGGCACTCTAAATATGCGGCAAGCCGGAAATCCTCTCATGTGTTTTGGTGAAAGGGAAGCGTCCCCTTGGGGTGCTCCCCTTCCACCAAACCACATGAAATTGGGGGCGGAACTGAGCTAGATTACACTGTCACCTTGTAAGGTGCTCAAAGCTGTTGCCAACGACAGGCGTATCTTGCGCTCCTTGCCATGACGAATTTCGTGGGCGTGGGATAATGTTACTGTCAGACAAATGAGCATCAGTAACAATAACAACAACATTTTAAGAAATTGTTCCAGTGTCTCGCAGTAGTCAGCAAATATTCAGAGAAAGCACTATTGTCTTTTTTTCGTTTGCTGTTTTGTCAAAATCTGAGCCATAAATAGAGCGCAGTTTTGTCACGCTTTAGCGTGCACATTTAAAGGGGTTACACCATTCAAACACTCGTGTTCTTGATAACGATGCATCACCATATACTGTTCGAATCATCTTAACGAATCGCAGGCAGATTTACTAAATTTATAATAAAATTTAATGTTTAATAACATTTTTTCATCTCGAAACAAATTGTTTTGAGCAAGGTCTTCTCAGTAATTTGAATTGACTTTGCCGTTTTATTATGCAAGCGACAAAATAACCAATTTAAACTACCTTTAACAAGATTTGAGATGTCACTTTTTCTAAAAAAATATTTGTTGTTTAACTGTTTTATTTTATTGTTTGGTCTTTTAATTTGACCGGTTGCTTTGCAGACACACCTTGTATTTAGCCCTTGGAACATCAGTGACAGCTCGAGAAGGAAGTGCGTATGGAATTGTAGAGTCATTAGGTTATTTCGAAGCAGAAGACATGAAAAATGAGCAAAGCTCTCTCCAGAACTCGAACCTGGATCTCTCGAATACGCGCTGAGTGTGCTACCGTTACACCACGAAGGTATACAAAAAGGAGGGAGAAAATTCTTATATACCTTATATATTTTTAATTTTTGTTTTTTAATTATTTGGGGGGGTGCGCAACCCGGCTGCGTGCTCCCTTTTTTGGTTGGTCCTCCTTTTAGGCATATGGCCGGCTTATGCCGGCTAGGTGGACTGTTGGCTGAGCTCTTTAATACTAATACTATTACCTTACATACTCCTCCTTTTAAAGGGAAACTGGGGTAGGTGACCCAATCGCCAGATGCTAGTGGTGAAGAATTATGATCCACCACCTTTTAGTTCGGGAATCACTGAGGAGTAATTAGGTTATTTTGAAGCAAGAGATATGAAAAATGAGTAATGCCATCACCGGGACTCGAAGCTGAACCTCTCGAATATGCTCCGAGTGTGCTACCGTTACACCACGATGACATTCACAAAAGAGAGAAAATACCTTATAGAATAACCTTGGGAAAGATTAAATGTTTGTACGAATTTTGTTACTTAATTTATAAATATTCGCTAATTATTATATTAGGTTTGCTTCTGGAAATATATTTTCTGATATTTTAATTCTAGGTTCATAAGGTGATTTTTCTCTCACTCAGTACAGACGCCTATGCCTATTTTATTTACGAAACAAGGCAGCTGTATATGACCCAGTTCAGACTTTTTATTAAATAAATAAATCAGAATAGTCCACGCGTGCACGTACTCCTGTGGTCGCAATATTCGTGATCTGGCAGGAACTTAAATAATAAGTTACTATTTGCTATACTTTACTTCCTCTCTTCACTTCAATATTATCTAGAAATAAGAAGTTATGAGGCACAGTTGAAAATTTGAAATATGGAAAAATAATTATGGAACTTCTGAGTATTTAAAATCTAGTGACTTCTAAAGAAATACTTAAGAACTTACTCCCATGCAACAAGCATTTATCCCTGCGCTTGCTTATTAATGAATTGCGTGGTTATCCAAGCAGCGTGATAATAAATCTGTAAGTGGTAAATATGTTTGAATTTACCATCTTTAAAAATTGAATTTTTGAGAGGTATGGTTTAGTTGCTGTTCCTCTGGCAGATACCAGAAGTATTTAGGATAAAAAGAAGCCGAACTTAAGCAGTTAAATTCTAAAAGTTGATGCGAATCTCCTGTAATGTGATTTTGGTTCTACTGTCTACTATCTGCAGCAAATATAGTTGGTAATAAGCACCGGAATTAGGTTTTATTTGTCTACGTATTATTTTTAGCTACTAAAATATCTATGAGAGCGATAAATCACAAACCACAAGAAAATCCAGATTGTTATTTTCTCCCCTTCTTTCCACAGGCATTCGTGGTATAATTGGAAGCATACTCGGCACGTATTCGAGAGGTCCAGGTTGGAGGGCGAGGGCGCTGCACATTTATCACGTCTCCAATAAAATAATCAAACGACTCTACAAATAAACACCCGAACGACTCCCGAACTAAAATTTTCTAAAGAATAATACGTCACCACCAGGATTTGACGATTGTATCCCCTAATCCCCAGTCGCCTTTTAAAAGGGGGAGTATATGCTAACCCTTGAATAGTGATGCAGTAGCCACAATATCATGCCATGCTCGTTACAAGTGATTTAAAAGTTTCTGTTCTAGACTGCTCTAGTGTTCCTTTAGAAGAGCAGCTCCGAACCTTTTCTCTCTCAGAGGAGGAGTATATATTTTTTTACTTCTTTTCCGAATTTCTTCGTGGTCTAATTGGAAGCACACTTAGCGCGTATTCGAGAGGTCCATGTTCGAGTCTCAGTGAGAGCATTGCTCCTTTTTCATGTCTCCTGATTAAAAAAAAAAAAGAGAGAAAAAAGAACCTAATGACTCTACATAGTAAATTACAATTCGAGTTAACGTAAGGGCTAGGACCTTAATATTTATTGCTCTTCATTTACTTGAATCTCTATTTCGGGCGCAGTTCATGCCGCCTCCCCGAAAAAAAAAACGCATGCAAGAACACCCTTTTTTTTTTTAATGAAACAAACACACTATATAAAGAATGATATGACAGAATGATAGAAAAAATGGCGACACAAGAAATATCATAGGATTATCCTAATTCGGGGATATTTATACACAACTGTTTGATTCTCGTCTTTTAAAGCTGCTAAGAACATATGTTAAAGATGCTACGAAGCTAATAAATCATTTTCTCAGATAAAATGCTTATATGATACCTCTCATTTATCTTATATTTGAAGCGATATATCTTATTTTAGGTGTCCCAAAATTATTATTAATCATTTTTATGCGTTGTCACATTGCCGAAAAGAGAGCTCCTTATCATGTTCTTTTTAAGAAGGAAAGGACTTTGATGAGTCTGCAACGAATTGCGAAATTTTGCCGAAAATTCCTGCATGCGTTTTTAGCATAAATGTAAACCAAAAATATTAGTTTCCATAAAGCTGTCTCTTGATAAAATCTAAACTAGCTTAAATTGTAGAACACCATTTAGCCGAATTAACGATGCCGAAGACATTTCGAATATTACATGTAATTAGTTTCATTAGTTAAAGGTAGTAAAAGTACTTGTAACAGTACATAGAGATGATTTGTTTTCATTTACAAATATGTATTTTTCTTTAACGCAGGACGAGCTGAGATTGTTTTTAAACCGAGATTTTATTGCTATGGGATGGGATTATACAGACTACATAATATATTTTATTACAATTTGAGACATTTTCTTTGAAAGTGGTCTATGTTCATTTAATATTATATGGAAATATTTAAGGGTTTGTATTTGAATAGTTTGAAAAATACTCGTATTTGGTAATACGCTCATTTTATGTTTTTTAAATATTAAATTGATTTAAATTCATAATGAGATCGTTTCTAAAGTATTAGTTAAAAGAAATTTATACTTTTGATGACCTCACATGGACTTACAGTACTTTCATACTTACAGTAAGTCAACAAAATGTAAAAATCATGCATTTATGAAATATTAAATATGGGATTTCAATTGAATAAAACCAAATTTTTTATGAAATTTTTACTAGATATGTATTGTTTTAATCAGAATCTGATTCCAAGACGTTTTATCCTAGAGGAGCGTTAGCTGGGAAGTGCTATAAGTCTCGAAACGGGATTTTGCGTTGAATCACTATAAATGGCTGAATCACTTTTCAGATTGCTGCCACCAAATGTTATCGCCCTGTATTATATTTAAAGAAATTAAATTATGAAGAATCTACATGGATGTATGTATATTTCCCGCATTGTGAAAATACGACGGTACCTAGTGCAATCAAATTTTGAACAACGTAATCCTCTACCCGAACATGGGCACTTGAAAGTTTGATTTTGAATTTATTTCGAGTTTGTTTTATTATCTATTTCATATTTTGTAAAACTTTAACTATTACCAATTCAATGCGCTCAATGGCAACACTGTACGGAGGAAAAAAACGTTTTTATTTCCAGAGCGAAGACTGTCTATCCGAAAGTCTAAAGATATGCAGCTTTTAAATATTTTTGGTATTGCTGTTGAACTGAATTTTATGTGGTTTAAGCGCGAAGAACGTGATATTTAATAAATAAAGGTAACATATAAATAAATAAAGGTAACATATATTAAAAAGACACTCCTGTGGGCGTAATATAAAAAAGGGAAAGCTGTCAGAATATTTTCTTTTTTTCCCTTCGTCATTGGGGTGATTTCTATAAAATATTAATATTAATTAAAATGTAGAAGTATCAAAATGTGAGTTTATTTCAATAAATAGCTTCCTGAATTACTGTCCGATTCCAAGGTGACATTATCGATTACGAATATTATATAATATAAAATGCACACTTGTTATAAAATTAACAATAGTAATTTTAGACGGAATAGTACTTATTTATTTCAGGTTAAATGAAAAAACAAAACCCATTACTAAGTTTTATACTCTACAAAAATGGGCGAAGTATCAAAATTCCAATGAATGAATGAGTATTTTTATGTCATTAACAGTGTTGCCCCACATATGAAAACGAAATAGAAAAATAATGTAGTTTAATTTTTTAACTAAATATTACGTCTTTGCGGAAAGTGGACTTGAACCATTTTTAAAGTAAATTGTATTTGTAAAATTATTAACTACGTAAATATATATTGACAAAATGATTATAATTTTGAAGGATTCTTTGAGGGAACTTTTTATATATAAAAAGCTCATAGCGGATTGCCTTCATTGTTATCATTTTCATTAATTTTCTTGTAAGAAATGGACTTACACCACTTTTGAAGAAAACGGCTCATTATACAAAAATATTTTTATAAAATACTACGTGTTTTCTAAAATATTTTATTCTTCATCAAATTGTTTCTTGTAACATTAAATATTAATATAAATAATGAATGTGTAAAGAAAGAAATATTTCCTTATGATAATTTGGGAGGATATAATACTTAGAATAGAATTTTAGTTATTAAACTAACACAGCATGCATCCATTTTAGAAATGCATAAAGTATTCATACCTTCCTCGCATAATTCTTTTATTAAGCCTCCTTCGTCCATGTACCAGAGATCCCGACTTTCTTGTACAGTGGCTCTATGTGAAACAAAATGCATAAATACATTAAAAAAATGCAAATATTTTATAAATATTATACCTCTGATGACAGATACTTAATAATAATTGAATTTGCATGTGATATTATTTATAACGTAAATCATAAAATCTAATAATTTTTTAACACTTCAGAGTTATTGAACTTGATGAGTACCGTAATGAACACAACACAAAACCTTCTTTATGCATTTGTTAAAATGATTGCTATTTATAGATAAAGATGGAAATATTTACTTGAAAACAACGCATCCTGTACCAGCTGGAGGAGCCTTCCACATCACTTGTATGTCTTGTTTAGGAATCAAAGAAGCATGCACAATGGCATTTGGACATTCTTCTGAGTACTTACACATGGCGTCACCAAAAAGCTAAAAGATACATTTTGTTAAGTTAGATGACAAATATTTAGTGCCTTATTGTATCAGTTTCAAAACAAATTATAGGCAATACTGAGAGAGTCTTATGCATCTAATATATCATATTTAAAATTTCAAATCAGCGTAGCTGGCAGATTTTCTTCAATTGTCAAAGAAAACCTGTAGCAGAAAGATATAGAACAAATTTGTAAAGTATTTCTCCAAATAAGGTTTTATTAAATTCCTACCATTAGCTCACACTCTCCCTATATCCTGTTAAAGTTTTCAATCTCTAATAAAATACTTTTTATTCATCCACTCAGGTTCAAATACATTTTTGTAAACTTGTAGTGGATGACATTTGATATTAATACAGTTTTTTTTCACATATTAAAGATAATTAAAATTTAAAATTTCACATATTAAGACTTACAAATAATGATCGTTTATTAGGAATTCTCACGTGCTATAAAAAATTAATCTTATAACAACTTATAAATATTAGTACATGACTGTGATAAATGGGACTGTAATATTTAACAAAAATATGTGGCAACAGTAAGACAGAGTTCTAAAGATTTTTACAGTGTATAGAATTAAGGAACTGTAGTTTTATAGAGTTGGATGAAGCGGATGTAATGTCCCATTATGTAGCGAAAAATCTCATAAGTAGGAATTGAAAAAAAAGTTTTTTTATTACTTGTTTTTTAAATTTTATTTAATAAAAAGCTATTATCCGATAGCTTTATCATTTTTATATTTAATAAACTATCTGATAAATGTGTTGAAAACATTTTAATTGTTAATTGATTAACTGGTATTAAAAAGCTTGTCTCTTTATGAACAATATTCTAGAATTTCAAAAAAGTGTATTGTATATCATTTGCATACAATACGTACAGAATTTGTATGTGTCCGAATTTTCACTTGAGATAAGAATCTACATTATATAGCTACAATCAGTTCCGGCTCGAAGCAAAAGCGTATTTAGCTGGCTTCCGTAGAGCGTTAAGGCACGAGCGATGGTATTCCGATCTAGCGGCAGGGATAAAATACTGCTCTGTCAAGTGTAGGAGCCAGGAAGGCGATTTTTAAACATGCTTATGCAAAATGTTAGAATCTTAATTTTCGAAAGATACGAAAATCTTTCTTTAACTCTTCTAGGTATATGAGTAAGGCTCTGAGATTTGGTAGAAATGTCATATGTTGAATCTGTAATGAAAACCATTAAAACTACACAAAAGAAACGAATTTTCAAGCATGAATAAAGATGAAAGGTCCATTACATCTAAAAAAGCAAGTTAAAAAAATTTAATCCATTTATAGCTCAAATACGTATTTCAGTAAACAACCGATCTGAGCATCTGAATGTGGTAAATCTTTTATATAAAATGGATGGAAAAAAAAGTGAAAAATTAATTCCATCTTCTTTAAGAGCAATGCATTGCATTGACACATACAGAAATTTCTTTGTCACGATATTTAAGGAGAAATCTTTTAAAGAAATTAATTAAATTCTTGGCAATTAAGGCTAAAAGCCAAACATTACGACAGAAAACACTTTGGGTTTTTTGCTATACACAAATTACAATCTGCGTCTGTTTTACTTTCCTTTTGCAGAAAAGCCTTATTTACGCAAGATCGGCATTAAAATAAAAGTAATTTTTTTTTTCACTTTTAGTTTAAATGCCATATTCATTTCTGTAACCTTCTCATGTTGATGCTAGATGTTATATTTATGATTTAAAAATTAATATTTTCATTAATAACAATTCATTAATAATAATTATTTTATTTATGACTATAAAAATTAATATTTTCGATTTTGAAAAAATATACATAGCATACTAAATAAACGGAAAGCTGATAAAATTAAATTTTTATAGTAGCAGTAATATAGTGGAAAACAAATTCTACAGTTAAAATATACGTATGATATCTTAAATAAAATTTCGACGATATGTCTGACATGTCTGGCTTAATTAGAGCAAGCTCACGAAATTTATCGTGGCAAGGAGTACAAAATTATGTCTGTCGTTGGAAAGAGTATCATACTGGTGACAATATGACCTAACTTCTGCCCCAATTTTGGAGGACAGCAGCGCAGGGAACGGTTCCGAGGGTCTTTTCCCCCCACTTCTTCCATCATCAACCTCTCGAAGGGACTTTCGTCTCACCGTATATTTTGAGTGTCCCTATGCCGCATAGTCATTTACAAACATCCATGCCTTCTCCAGGATTCAAACCTGGGACCTTCGGTATGGCCATCATCGTCACTAACGATTTTCTGGTCTGGACGGTACGCTATGTCTTTAAACGTCCTTTTAATCCCCTGCTCGTAAAAAGCACGTTTACCATTTATCTTACATATGCATGGAAAATGTTCTTATCGCCTAGGCACTTAAATTTTCTGATATATCAATGCGGCAACCTGTATTTCTCCGTCAATTTATGGATCTATCTGCAGCTTATGATTCCATTTGAATCGAATTCTACGTTTTTATGAATTTTGTACATGCCGTCAAAGGATTTAACGGCCCTCGATAATAAACGGCATTTTGATTGAAGTAATAAACGGCATTTTGATGCATATGTCATAAGCTCCGTGCGAAAACGATGTGGCGAGTCAAAAACCAAGCTACCAACTGAATAATTAAAAATTTTTTATTAAATAAGTGCAGACGTCTTATTCCATTAGAGGTCATATTAGAGGTCCAATTTGCAATGAAATAATATGACAATTATTTCTTTTTTTTCTACCACCCTACCAGCAGCCGAAAGGTGAAATCGTTAAACTCGGTTAAACCAGGAAATTCCAGGAAAACGGGCAGGTTCTATGAGTGTTTTTATAGTCTTCCCCAAGTGTAATGTGCATACCAGCCAGTCTAGGTTAGAAAGTCCTCCACGAAAGCATTCCTATCCATATGCAGAGTCCTTGAGTTCTTTGCCATTATAAGAGTTATTAGGTTAATTGGAAAGCAGGCAAGATGAAAAATTAGCAACCGCCTTCGGGAATCGAACCACAGACCTCTGAAATACCGGCTCAGTGTGCTGACCACTACACCACGAAGGCACGCTAAAAAGGCGGGAGAAATACCTTATACCATAATCAAAACAAACAAACAAAACCTGTTGTTCTACTGACTTAAACAATTCGAATAACTCATTTTTAATATAAGAGTCTACATTCTATATCTTTATCTTCTGGAGAATTAATTTTCTGCACTTTAAAAGGTGAATCGTAATTATTTAGCTTAATCTTGTATCGATGTTTAACGATAATTTGCTTATGAAGATTATGATATTTTTAAAACCTTTTTAAAACTATAATCGTCATTACTATATATTGTAATCCGAAGTTTTCAAATTACTGTTATTATTATTATTATAATTATTGATGCGTTTTGTTAAAGCAAAACAGCCAAGAAACATGTGAGCACAACTTTTAAAAAAATAATATAAATTTGTGTTTTCATTGAATTTAAACTAACGAAAAACATTTTTGTTTACATCTTAATGTGCATTTCTTACTTAATGAAAAATATTTTATAGACACAATACTACTGTTCAATATTTTGACTTTAAAATGGCGGCAATTGAGCGAAGAATTACTACGAGCTCTTGAAATGAGCTTTTGAAATTTCTGAATTTGTAACTGAGAATCCCTACGGATACATCTAAGTAAATTTTCAGAGATTTTTATGTTACAATAATTAAATAAGCATTAGACAGGTATGTAATAAACAGAGCCCGGATTTTGATGATTTTTCTTTCTTTTCGCCATCAACAAAACAGTTTGCCCGCTGTTCAGCCTGTTGGATCCCGTTGATAGAACTAGAGCTTAGAACTATAACTTCCGGGAATTGACTACGTAAAGCGAGGAACACTGAAAGAAGGACCAGAACATGGAAAAAAGTACATGGAGGGAAATAAAGGGAAAGCGCATAATGGGGACTGTTGAACTAAGGGGGAAATTGCTGGTGACCACTTAACTTGAGGAGTACAATGCGCTCGTAGTTGTAATGTGTACTGACAGTTATACAATTAAATTTAAAAGAAAAATGATACTATAGATGCCAAGCGTTTTGAAAATTTGTAACATGTTACGCATTTCTGCTAATCCAATAGATATTTTATTTACTTTTCATCATTATGGTTTATGTTAGGCATACAAATATAATAAGAACAGGGTGTTAAATTAGGTTAAAATGTGCATGAATACATGTTGCGTTTACATTATGCAAACACTAATGGCAAGTTATACTGGCAAAACTGCAGACTCCTATATTCATATTATGCATTAGTAGTAATTATAAGTACATTAAATGAGTGTTGAACTCACAGAATTGCATTAACATAGATAATGTCGTGTTAGGTACTAAATAAATTAAATAAATACGATAAAATATGTGGGCATACTGATTTAGAACACACATTATTACAGATAATACCTGTTTGTATATATTTATGGCACAGTGCTCCTTGGTAAGACAAAAAATAACAAAAATGCATATACATATTCTGCTCAGTGCAAAATTTTAGTATAAATAAAACCAACTAAGATACAACTCGAAAAAAAAAAAAAAAAAAAAAAGATGGGACAGGTCTATATCTCCCGTTCTATTAGGCCGATTGACGAAATTCAACTTATGTTTTTCCTACCTTTGAAAGCGCGACTTAGGATATGTACTAAATTTATATATAGCATTGTCCTAATGTAGGTATTTTGACACAAAATTGGACATTTTATGAAATGACATGCCAATTGTTTTCCATATTTCGATTCTACGACTCAAATTATGCGAAACTACCAAGTTTTGTAAAAATCGCACGAGTAGTTTCTTAAAAATTAACTCTCAAAATTTTACCTCTTTAATCTTAATTCAATTTGATATATATTTATTAATGTCTATTTTTTGTTAAACTTACATGATTCATTCTTCCAGAATTCAAACTTTAGGCTTAATTCAAATATAATTCGCCCATTTTATGATTTATTTTTAAAGCTTGTATTTTTAAATAATTCTTATAAATCTTTCGAAAAAAATTTGAATCATAATCTATAAAATTTTTACCATCATCTTAAAGTCGATGTATTTCTAAGCATATCTGCAAAAAAAAAAAAAAAAAAAAAAAAATAGAGTTTTTTATTCAACATCTTCTAAGATACACATGCATTTACATATTGGCGAGTTATGAAATTTGGCATCTTTTTTTGAGCGATAACAACGCCAAATGTGGTTTACGCACTTTGCTAAAATTATTTGAAAGTCTGAACGACGATTTTTTTCCGCTCGTCTACAATGAAAAAAAGTAAAGAAACATAGGTTGCTATAAAATAAGAAGTTCGCCAAGTAAATTATTCTTAGCGCATTTTGAATTTCTCCGTAAAATTTACAAATTTTAACATTTAGGCATAATTTGAGTCGTAGAATCGAAATAGGGGAAAAAATTGGCATGTTATTTCAGAAAAAGGTCGGATTCTGTGTTAAAATACCTATGTTAGAATAATGCTATATATAAATATAATATATATTCTAAATCGCGCTTTCGAGACATAAAAAATGCAGTTTGAGTTTCGTCAGTCTGCCCAGTAGAATGGGAGATATAGACCTGTCCCCCCTTTTTTTTTTGTGTGTGTGCAATTTTTGTAGCCTTTTTTCCCCCTTAGTTTAAAACTGAATAATTAAGACATATATAATAAATTTAAAGTGAGTAAATACTCAGAACAATATATATTTGTTTAATCATAATAATAAACAATATTAAAGCACTTTGATGACCTAATCGTTCATCAAATGGCCGGAAAATATACTTAAAATGCGAAATATTCCCTTAAATGATTGACAATTTTCATGCACAAATTGGACAAATACATTATAAACCAAAGAGTTACAAATTACGTTTCACTTAAGTTTTTTTTCCCTTGCGAATTTTCAACCTTACACAAATATGTATTACACTGAATCATAATCTATAAAATAGATATGTATACTATTACACTGAAATGCTTATGATGTTTTCGAAAATAACCTCTGATTTAAACAAAATATACACAGCTTTACTGTAATTTTTAAAATATACTCGTTTCAGTGGCATTTTCGAGACAAAAGAACCATTTGGCGAAAAGTACGTTACCAAACGTCTTTTGCGTTGATGACACTCTCATCCAATAGTCCCTTTTGAGAAATGGAAGGATCCAGGATCATTTGCCAAATAACTGCCGATGAACTATTCCAGCTGAGCGAAAAGAAAAAGTAAAGGGAAAACAGATAAACGTGTTGCACACAGCTATGAGTATGTAATTCCAAAAATGGGTCTGTGGAATACATATTCCCTTTTCACGTTGTAGAGTTCCTCACTCTTTTTGTCTAAAGTAAATGTGAGGAACTTATTAAACTGTTAAGCGACTTGTCGCTTAGTTCAAATAACTAAAGACGTAGACTCAAGAAGGGTTACATACCCTTTATTTCAAACAAAATAATATGAACAGTTGGCCCCTTTTTCTGGCTTACAACAAAGTCTCCACTTGGGCCTAAACTCAGAATAAGAAATAAGAAGTAAATTATAATTAACTAAGACAGACTTAGCCGAAGCACAAGCTTAAACGTAGTTGGCCCTTAATTTAAACTAGCCGACGAATAGCGAGGCACGTAATATACGGCCAAGCATAATACCTTCAACCCGAAAGAGATTTAGCCCGAAAACAAACGCGCGCTACTAAGGATTCCTAGCTGTCTCACGAAGTAAGAGAATCTTCCTTAAATACTTCTTCTAACTCATTTGTATTCAACTCGATCCTAGAAACTCATTCTGGTAGGGAGATGTAAGTGGGAACAAGAACTGATAGGAAAGCGCATTGAAATTAAAATAACTGTTATAAAATTAAAATATAACTTACAATGTAATCTATGAAACTGAATATGCACAAAGGTCTGACAAGAAATGTCGGAATGGAAATATTCTTAGAAATGACACTCATACTTTGTAAAACAGAACAGCCTTTTATAATGAATAGGACTAACAGATTACGCAATCAGTTTTCTGTGGGTAGGACATGTCAGCCTAATACATATTAGTTCGTTATTTCAAGAGTAACTTTATTTTCCTCTTTGGTTACCAGAATATGCCTCAAGATACACTGAAAGACATCAAAGACGCTCTTAAAATTTTATAAAAATTAAAAAAAATCCTTAAATGAAGAAAATGATTTAAAAAAATTCAAAATAATACTTCCATCATAAAATTCCGGTCCTTGGTAATTAAAAAACATATTGCTAAAGGCCTAAAAACTTAATTTTCAACTGTTTCAGATGATGATATAGCGACAAAATAAAGTGGAATTTTTACCTGAAACGAGCCGACATCAGGTCTTGCTGAGATGTCATTTTTGATTTCTTTTGGTTCTACTATGAGCATAAACCCAATGAACTTCTGTACTGCGATCTGGGATGAATAGCCCTGAATTGTCACTGTAAAAAAATGAAAACGCTTAGAAACAAATACAATTTATTCACTAAATAAAAAATAAACGTTTAAAAATGAAATTTGAATTGTAATTTATAGAGAACAGGAATATACATTATAGTTGAAAAGATACCTCTATATTAATTCAGAAGTCAAACAACAAAAATCAGCGTTATATTTTCAAATTTTCACAGGACTAGTTTCGATGGTTTTACCGAACTACCATCCTCAGCTGCAAAAGCACAAATGAACGAGATAGGATTTAATGATTAGATAAGATAAGACAGCCTGGACGTAAAAAAAAGCTAGTAGCGCCATCTGTTGATGAAACCAGAACTAAAACAGAATTTCTTTAAAGGCCGAAGGCAAAGAGGGATTTGATTAGATAAGAAAATAAGCTAATAATAAGCTTTGTTGTTTGACTTCTGAATTAGCATTTGTTCGGCGTGTTATTCTGTCTTAATACCTCTATATATTAATACTGATTTTTATATATATTGCCCATTAATATATGCTTAAAACGGCTGAACGCTGGTATTTCGATCTACGCATTCAGTCTCGGCAGTGGGTTTGTCCTATTAGCATTTTGTAGTTTTTATCATGTATAGTATGATAAAATGATAATCAGTGAAAATCATATGAAATTATAAACCACTTCCCTATAAAACGTAATCCACGGAGGCATCCCTTCCCGTAGGTGAACAGCCCTTGCGTACTTTGCGATAATTGTCTAAATAAAGAACAAATGAATATTTAAAAACATATAGAGAAATATGTTTTTAAATATTCATTTGTGAGTAAGAACAACACAAATATTGTTTAAAGCAAACACTTTATTAAATGATCAAGCGGCAAACACCAGTGGCTGAGTACTGGGAAGACCTAATCATAACAGATTGTTATTTTCTAAATATGCATAACGTTAACCATCTCTTTTTGATTATTTATATAAAATTGTTTTATTAATTGTAAGAATGAAGACGTTAATATAAGATCAAATACTTTCTTCTGCTGATTTAAAAAGAAATTTGAATACAACGACTTTGTTAAATAATTAAATTAGAAATTAGAGTAAATGCTAATATTTCCCCTCTTATGATACTTTAAAGTATTTTAAGAAGATGACAACTCACGGTTCGAGATGTATTTTTTCTTCTCTCAAGGTTCGTGTGGTCATTAAGTATTTTCATAATGCATTAATCTTACTCAAGATTTAATATCGTTTATCTATATCGTCATATTAATAAAATTAGGAAATCATTAAAGATAAGCAGCAAATAATTTAAAATGGGAAAAACTTAGAAATAAAGAGTAAATAAATTAAAAGTTTATAAAATGTTTATTACAATTACGAGTTTATAAAATATTTACTTTTCCTTAATATTCTTAAATCCTGCGAATACTATTTTAAAATTTAAAAAAATTTTATACATTAAAAAAATTCTGATGCAGATACCACATGATTTCCTTTTATGGCGCATTAAATTATATATATTATTTGCGGCACTTCTTTTAAATTTATTCTTTCAAATTATTCTAACTTAATTAACCGATTCCTTAACGCAAGTTGAAAGTGACATAAAAAATTGCAAATTTTGTAATTAAATATCTCGGTCACGTTTACAGTATAGGAGACAAACTTCTTATAATTTTTTTTATAACGAGTATAAAATTTTCCCACATATAAGTATGGAACCGGAAGAATACATTAAAAGTTAGATTTCGCCATTTTTCAAAAGAAAAAAAAAAAAAAAAAAAAAAAAAGCGTTTTTTTAAATTTTACATTGCAAAACATATTTTCGTCATTCAAAACATTTCTGTAATTGGTCTACGACCAACGATTGCACAAATAGTCCGGGTAAAGACTTTCAAGCCGGAGAAGGGGACCTATACACGTTTGGTGTTGCCGATTGCAATAAAAAAGGGAGCTGTACAACTAGATGTTATAGCAGTCGCATAAACAAAATTTTAATGTTCTACGGCTAATCGTTTTTGAATTATGTGAGATACATTAATACGTATGTGCGTACGTACAGATATCATGAAAAAAGTCTGTTTTGAATCGATATTAAATTCATTTTGCAATCCGTTTTGGGAAAAAGAGTCCTCTATTCTCCCTGTATGTACAGACATCAAGAACAAATTGCCCAAATGGATTCAGGAATGGTCAAAATAGATGTTTGTGTTGAAATATAATACAAAAAATTTTCGTGATTACTACTTCATTTTCCTTTATACAAGAGTGTAAAAAGTGATGATCTTCTGCACTGCGCGCATAAAGTAATCGGACAAATTAAAAGACCAAACGATAAAATAAAAATGCGAAAGAATATATGTTTAGAAACAGTGACATCTCAGTTCTTGTTAAAAATGATGTTAAACTAGTGATCATGAGCGTTTTTTTTTTTTTTTTTTTTTTTTTTTTTTTTGTTGTTGCTTATTACGTGCTCCACCCTTAGGCACTACACGGAAAGGGAGGGATGCCCCATGAAGGTCTTTTCCACGGATATCCATGAATAGTACTTGAATTTTAATTGTCTTTTGTCCTTAATCATTAAGATTTGGTTTGGTTTATGTGTGATTGGCTGATGGTTGATGGAAAATACTTTATTTAACTTAATTATGGCAAAGAAATTGAGGGTTAACTGCCTAAGGGAAGGGATGCCGTCGTGGAGGACTTCCTAAGCGAAACTGGCTCGTATTCACGTTACACATGGGGAAAACCACGAAAACGCCCATGCAGCCAGCCCGTTAACCAAAACTCGAACTTCGGACCGAACTACCAGTGTTCAGCGGCTTTTACCGCTCGGCCGCTGGTGGGCCATTATCTTGAGGTTTGAATAGCAAAATGCCGAAGTCGTTTTCATTTACTGAGAAAATAATGTAAAAAATTTGCTTTAAGATGAAACAACGTGATAACATTAAATTTTGTTCAAAATTAGGTAAATCTATTACCAAAACATTTGATATGATTCGAACAGTATGTTGATGCATCGTTTATGAAGAACAAGTGTATGAGTGGTACAACCGCTTTAAATGTGGACGCCAAAGCACTGACGACAACCTTCAACTTAAAAAATGAGAAAAGTGTGAGGAAAATCTATTCTTTGGTGAAAACTGACAGATGTGTAACTCAGCAACTTTGCTACATGCTTGGGATAAGCAAAGAAAGCTGTGAGTGAATTTTAATTGAAAATCTGAAAACAAGGAATATATGTGCTCGAATTTTGCCTCGAATTTTCACAAAACTAGGAAAAAAAAAAAAAAAAAAAAAAAAAAAAAACAGAAAAGCTTACTATGAGGATCTGCTGACTACTGCGAGACAGGAGAATAGCTTCTGAAAGTGTAAAAAACTAAACTAAACTCAGTGGCGCAAACAGCCCTAATGGGCCAAGGAGTGCCGCGAAATCTGCTTTCTTGACCGTGGGCCCCGGGGTGCGTAAGCATATGCCCTGATCAGAGGGTCAGCTTGTCGCAGGACCCCCAGTGTTTAGTCCCCAAACGAACTTGGTACTCATTTTATCGACCCAAGGGATGGAAATCAAGGAATGAAAGGCTGAGTCGACCTTGCCCAGCGCGGGCTTCGAACCCTGGACCTGTGGTGCCAAAAAAGTGTATCATAGTGGCAGATTAGACCTGGTGTCTAGCAATATGCAATATGACCCAGAAACAAAAAAGAAAAGTATTAGTGGAATGGACCGACTTCTCTCCCCCTGCCATCCCCAAAATAACATGGACGTCGAAATCGAAGGCGATTTTTGTTGCATTATTTGATTACAAATGACTTATTCAACATGAATTTGTCAATCAATTCATTATCAACTAATTAGCGTTTTTACAAAGAAGTGTTTTTTCGATTAAGAAATACTATAAGGCGAATTGGGAAGGAACTTTTTATGTCTGAGCAATGGTTTCTTTTATAAGAAAATGCTAGGCCTTGTACAGAACTGTCTGCACAACAATATTTTGTTAAGCATTCAACTACAATGGCTCACCAGCGGCCGAGCGGTAACGTCGCTGAACACTGGTAGTTCGGTCCGAGGTTCGAATTCCGCGAACGGGCTGGCTGCATGGGGTTTTCGTGGTTTTCCCGATGTGTCACGTGTATACGTGCCAGTTTCCCTTAAAAAGTCCTCCACGAAGGCATCCCTCCCTTAAGGCAGATAGCCCTCGAGTGCTTTGCCGTAATCTAATAAACCAAACCAACTACAATGAAAAAGCACCCTTCGTATTCTTCCGACTTATCGCCAGCTAACATTTTCCTTTTTCCGAAGCTTCAAATGACCTTGAAACGACAGAGATTCGAAAACATCTCGGATATTAAGTCAAGTGTTAAGTGCATTTTGTGAACGGTTAATTCTAACGCCTATAAACAGTGTTTCGATGACTTGAAGACACGTTAGAAAAATTGTATAGATTCCTGTAGCGATTATTTTGAAGGAGATTAATTTATTTCAAGGTTAGTAATGTTTATCTTATTTTTAAAAACTTGTTACTTATGTTTTGGGTGCACTTTGTATATATATATATATGTATACGGGCGTGTATGAATCTATTTACTTTATAGCGTGAGTGCTATTTGATATCCGACAAGAAGGTACTTTAAGTGAACTAAATAAAGAAACAACGAAAACAAAACGACGAAAAGTTGGAATATAAATTAAATTCACTTTTAATTATTCTTAATTACAAATATTAACACATTTGTTTCGTTTATTAAAACCATGTGAAATTTATTCTTCCTAGATAAATAATACTTTATTAGAATTATACCGAAAAATCAGAGATTAATAACCAAAACAAACACTCATACATTTATGAAGAATTTTTTTAATCACATAACATTTAAAGCAAAAATTATAACAAGCTAGCTTTCGGCTACGGCAGCGAAGTGGTTCAAAAAAGCCTAAATATTGTATTTATCAAAGTGATAAAAGAAGCGAATTCAAACGCGCCAAAATCCATCTGAATGCATTTCAACAATAATATTTTAAGCCTTTTGAGAACAA